CCTATACCTTTCCTGTTTTGTCGAGAATCGTAAAAAATACTCAATAATTATGATTATTTCATATCTTAGTAGTTTCATAAAAGCATTCTGCAGGGTGTGATTATTTTTGTAGTGCCGTACGCGATTTTCTATGTATTCAATAGGCGTGTAAAGTTCAAGAAATGTAATAATAAACATAAGTAAACATAAAATGTCTTTAACTTCACTGAAAATTAAGCATAAAAGCGCATAAGGCTTAGTTATTTTGATAATTAAAATACTAAACTAAAGTAACTAAATGTATACGAACCTTTTTATCAATTAACTTAATTTCAGCGGAATATATTTTAGACGCACATAAAAGTATTTAAAATACTGAAATTTCACTTGACTAAAGTGTTTATCTGTGTACATAGAAGGAATATGACGCTGTGCGGCTATACCTAACTAAAATGTAATTAATAATTTGATATATTAATAGTTTATTTCGAATTAATTTGCACATAAAATTATGAATAAATAAAATTACATATTCAACGCGAGATGAATTTTATTTTTTTTTTTTGGTTCGCAAATTCCTTAACGCGACTCGTTGACAATTTGTTCATTTATGAGGAAAAAAGGCAATCTGTTCTTAAAAATACAGGTATACCATTTTTTAAAATATTTTGCTACTCAAAAATTCAATGCGTGCCTAAATACAGAGTCAAATAATTTTTGAAAAATAGTTGTAGAGATGGTAACCGCACATGAGCATAATTTCCATCTATGTACTTTTTTAGGGTGATTGTAACATATTTTATGTTAAAGTGTGCCGAGAAATCAATCTGTTTCCTAGCTTAGATTTTTTAAAACGAATAAAATATAAAATAACAATATCGTCTCTTTACTATTATTAATAGTTTTCTGTAAGTAAACATAAATAACCGTAAACTAAATAAAGCCATTATGTGGGGGACAATACTAAAAAATTTCCATGAACCATTTCATAAAGAAGTGCCTTTAATGTTAGTAATCATGTCTTTCGCATAATCACGGTAGTACAACTCTTACTCGGGAAGTCTTGCACTTTTCCGCAATGAAAAATGTTCACGTAACCGACTTCTACGATTCACTGACTTCTTTTTATATGTGCACCCGATAATAATGTCTAATTAGAAATAATTAGCAATAATTCTAGAACAGTGAACAAATGAGAGATAAAGAAACGCTAAAACAGAAGCTTTACGTAACAAAGAGGCTTAAATTAACCTGTAAAATATTCGCAGAATAATTGTGTGTGAAATTTTTGTAAATTATCATATGAAAACAATCACCTTTTCAGTAAAAACTTTCAGTTGGATAGGTAGTTCAAATGTAGCATTGTAAACAACATAACACAATTAACGATAATAATCAATTACCAAAATAAATATTTATCCACGAAAACATAAGTCTGAGATGGATTTAATCAGAATATCATAGCATTTTGAAGGGTGAAACAATAAAATAAAATGTTTATTGACAAACTTAGCGACTCTTTTTGGTTAAAGAGCAGAGGCTCTTTGGTAAGAGAATGGGGGTGCATCATCGACCACAATCAAATTTAATTGTATACAGGCTGTTACAAATTCGCTTCTCACTATAGGTATCTCGAAAACGGTAAAAGATATGAACTAGCTTGCTTTGGTCAAGTGAAATACAACTTTTTCACAGTCTTATGTTCTTTCTATTGGTATCTTCTTTTGGAGATAAAGAATGCTGGTCTGCGAATTTATTTAATTAATCTGTGGCCATTCTTGCTTTTCGTAAAAAATTTTTTAATTTCCTTAAAAACTACTAGATATACAGGGTGTTTTTGAATGGAGTAGCATAAATGATGCCAGTGAATCTACATTTCAAAAGAACACGATCTGCAAAAAATCGCCTTAGTAAAATGTTCACCCCTGAAGAGATATGGGCCATCAGTTTCCAAAAAAATTATGAAAATTAGCTGTAATTTGAAAACCGAACGAGGTACAAATAACAAATTTTTTGCAGGTTGTTTACTAATACAGATGCGAGTTTTCAACTATTTTTCGAAAATTTTAACCCCTCGAAAGGGGTTGAAATAACCACCCCTCAAGCCATTTTTTGCCATAACTTTTATATTTCGTAAAAACTCGATATCCAAAAATACGCATTAGATAAACTG